AGAGGGGAACGAAGCATTCCTAAGGGTGGGGAAACTGTTCCCTAACAAACGCGTTTTAAAATCGTGAGGTTGACGGCGATATGTAACGGGCTAAGCGGACAATATCTGCTAGCGGTGGTGGACTTTGGTGGTTATAAATGGTATCAGAGCCAATCAATGGATGGTGCGAGGCACTAATTGGAGTAGCGCTAGACCCTCTCCATAGTAGAGACATTTTAAAACCGTGAGGCTAACGGCAATACGTAAAAGATCAAAGCGGACAATATCTACTAGCGGTGGGTTTGGACTATTACATATCAAGTACCTCTTCTAAAGCCATGATGGTTGCAGGGACATAGTCGAGTTGGCGAGCTCCATGATTTGAAACAATAATTCCAGCAGCTCCACTTTGAACGGCGATCCTTGCTGCGAATTGGAGGCCAAACATCAAATTACACTAATAGAAAAGACATTGATTTGAATGGAATCAAACGATTATGTCTTGTTTTTGCTGTTTTTACTTACTGTCCTCAGCAGTAAGTACACCCTTCACTAGAATTGGCAACTTGGTGATGGTCTGCAGCCACTTCACATCCTGTAAGTAAATGTATAAATAAGCTATCTTGTAATAATAACAACATTGTTTTTTGTTTTAACTTTGAATGGCGTTTTTTTAGTTACCTGCCAGCTGAGAGTACGGTCGATCTGCCCCGCAACATATGAGGCAAGTCCAGAGTCATCTGCCTGTAAAAAAACACACCCCCACGGAGAAAGAAAACGTTATCAAGGATGTCGTTGATGGACGTAGAACTCAGCACGGAGTGGCATTTCACTCTTACCTGGTCCATTTTACCGAGATCCAATCCCTCAAAGTTCTTCAATGTCAAAAATGGTGGCAAAGTAAATCTGCAGCAAAAGCCATCAATGTGTGAGAACATTTGATGACAAGGTTTACGATATACCCGAACCGATACCAGCTGGCTCAACGAATCCAAACGCACCTGTTCTTGATATCAGCTTCCCTGCGACCAAGCCTTGGAGTGTCCACAGTCAGGGCAATGGCTTTGAATCCAGCTTTTTCAGCTCTTCTCACAAGTTGCGCCACCACGTTTCTATCCTTGTACACCTGAATACGCAATAACACGAATTTGGATGTGGATTATGACCAAACATTCGAGACGAACGAAGCAGTGAATAGTTGGCTGGTAAAATAAAAAGCTGTTCCTTATTGTTCTTGAAAACTATTTACTTACATATAGTTGGAAGAAACGAATGCCAGGTCCAGTGGAGGCAACTTCTTCCACACTGGAAGTAGCCCATGAGGAAAGGGTCTGAAACAATCCAAGAACCACTTGAATCAAGCATAGAAATAAAGCCCTTAACTAATCCCAAGTCAAGATCATATACTAAATATTTGAGAGAATAATGAAACTTTAGGTTCAGAAAAAGAAATTTAAACCATAATTGTGCCTGCTGCAGATGCTGCTCGGGCGGTTGCATACTCCCCTGCATCGAAACAGCAATATCGTTCAGATAAAAATAGTGTCATTCTCAAAGGAACAGAAACGCAAGTCAGCACAAATAAGCACGATTCGTTTCTCTGATGGATACATTTCATCTTGATGCTTGAATTTTCTCGTTCAAATCTAACGGAACGACTAATCTCGAAATGCGACTAAAGAAGTCTGTGGGTGACCAAAAAGATTCATAAGCCATAAAAGTAGTTTTTACCTTCAGGGTGAGCCATCTTTTGCATGGCAGTTGGAGCAATCATAATAGGCATTGAAATTTTGAATCCCAGCACAGTTGTAGACATGTCTATCTTACTTACATCGATAAGAATACGGGGACGGAATCTGTGTCGATGAAACTTAGCAACTGTTAGATAAGTAGTTTTTGAAACATTTTTTAGAGCTGTGTTAAGAACAGATATTGATTAAGTCCTTGCTTCAAGAACAGATATTGAAAAGAACTGGTGAGTATGAAAAGGAACGTACAAAATCCTGGAAAAGGCATTGCGGTTCTCCTTCAGGGTCCACTGGTCTTCAGCACCAGAAGCGTAGTAGTCATATACCATCTTTGGCAACTTCTCCTTTGCAATAGCCTCATACTCAGTGACATTGGTAATCTCCATCTTTGAAACAGAGTACTCACAACTGACATAAGAAAGACAGAAATGAATTCAAAGCCCAGCAATTGAAACGATCTCAAATGTTTGACATCATCAGAATTCTCCAAACTCAAACAATTACGACAGTGAAAAGAGGTGAAGCAATGATTCTCATCAAGAACGAGAAAGTAACATTTAAAACATAATATTACAGAATCCACAAGAAAGGGAATGTATGATTGATGTTTGAGATGGCTGATATTGTAACAGCTCAAGCCAACCAACCGAGGTGGGATCTCACAATCCACCCACATTCGGGGCCCAACGTCCTTGCTAGGACTCGTTCCTTTCTCGAATCAATGTGGGCCCCCACCAAATCCACCCCCTCCGGGGCCCAGCGTCTGCACACCACCTTATGTCCACTCCACAGTCCTTGTTGCACACCGTCTCATGTGGCTTTGCTACCACTTGTAACAGCTCAAGGCCACCGCTAATAGATATTGTCCTCTTCGTGCTTTCCCTCTTCTCTTTTGGGCTGTTTTAAAACGCGCTAGAAAGAGGTTTCCACACCTTATAAAGAGTGTTTCGTTCTCTTCCTCAACCGATGTTGGATCTCACAGATACCATATCAAATAATCATTGATTAACAAGTAAACCAGTTACCAGTCTATTACTCGAATATTCATCGATATCAGCAGAACATGCGATTTCGATACTTTTACACCTTAAAAACTAATGCAAACGAGTATCATCAGCATCAGGATATGATACTTGAACAATCGGATATCAGATTCAGTTCATTCAAGTTCCATCGATAAATAAAGAATGAAACAGAAAACAAGCCCATCCGTCATCACCAAAAGCAAATTCAAAGAACATACGTGAAAATCAGTCTAAAATAACCCAAACCCATATGAAGAAACAGAGTAGAAACAATAAGAACTACACGAAACACAAAACTCGGAAGACAGAGATGAATGAGTACCACAAAATCCCAGATGAAAGAAGATGGGCAAACAAGAAATTGCAGAAGAACAAATGAGAGAGAGAGAGAGAGAGAGAGAGAGAGAGCGTACCCTTTTATGCGGCAGTGAAAATGGATGAAGCGAAGTGATGAAGAGGGGTTAAAGATAACAAAGAGGAGCGAAGGAGGGAGAGATTGAGGTCTAGAAATGGATAGTGCAAAAAAGAGAGAAGAAATATAATATAAGAGCGATAGAGGAATGCCGTGATCGTATTGAAGGTTAAGACAAAAGAGGTGGGATCAACACCACATTATTTGGATTGGATTTTGAAGGTGAGCGTTACAGACCAAATCTGTTTCACTCAAATTTCTCAAATCAATCGGAAATTAAAACTTTGTGTGGACGCGGACCGTTCCTTCCTCTAGATCAAAATCGAAATGCTTAAAAGATTTAAACATCAATTCGGACCTTTGTTTCTGAAACTTTGGTTTCTTTTAAGTTTCCTCAATTTTCTGTCTTTTTTTTTTCCAATTATATTTTTAGTATACTTAGTAAAGGTATAAAATGCACAATAATATGCTTCCGAATATGATCCTAAGAATAAAATGTCTACCGATGTTATTAAAATTTCATATAAATAAAAAATATATAGTAGATGATTAATTTTTTATATTTCGTTTATTTTTATTAGGTTGAATAATTAATTTAATTTTAAATTATTAATATTAAAAATTAGATGATTAAATAAATTTTAAGAAAATGGTAATTATAAATAATCAGTACGTTGAATAATTACTATGTTTTCAATAAATAAGATAAGATGAACAAACTTTATATTTTATAATTAAATAGGCAATTAACGTCAATGGGTTGATTAAGTGACTAACCATGTTCAAAAGGAAATTAAAAACAAAGTAATAATGGGACAAATATAAAACTAGTATTGGCATCTTTTATCCATATTTGTTATTATACAACAGAACAAAAACATGACTCAATTAGAATTCTATAAATATTTGGATGACTCGATCAATTTCGATGCCTAAACTTAAATTAAACTTTGTTGAATTTCTCAATTAATATGAGATCTCGTATTTGTTGGAGAGAGAAACAAAATTTTTTTTGAAAGAGGGTGGAAATAGCTCTCAAACGAATTTGTTTTAAAATTTTGAGAGGAAGCCCGAAGGTTAAAACTTCAAAGTACAATATTTACTAGCAGTGTCATTAGATTTTTACAAATGGTATGAGTCAGACACAAGAGTAGTGTGCCAGTGAGAACACTGCGCCTAAAGAAGGGGTGGATTGTGAAATCCCACGTTGGTTAGAGAAGGAAACGAAACAGTATTTATAAAGGTGTAAAAAGATCTCCATAACAATAAAACCTTCGAAGGAAGCCCATAAGACCTAAAGGGGACACACTCTGATCTCCTCAACACATAACACGTCAGGCTCAAGCTTAGGCTGTCACATAATGTATGTAAATTATAACCCCATGTCATGCCACCCTCTTTCGTCTCTTACTTTCATACTCTGTTAGTTAACCCACACAGCCACACCACAAAGTTAGGAGCTTACGATCACACTCAACACATTGTTGGTCGACTCACACAACCCAGCATTCAAACTCTTACTCGCTACTGTCACTCATCTAGTGAGTGCGACTTTAACGTTGGTCAATGATTCAATCCTGAATAGCAACCCATCTCCAATGATATAATGCAGAGTTAAAAAGAAAAAAATAAAATAAATTACACGATCTTCAGTCCATTCTACAAAGCGCGCCATTTCCAGTATGTATATGGCCCATCGGTTGCATGCGGCTGCAGCGGACCGTAAAAACGACAGAAATTAATAACCATCCGATCGAAGATATCGTCCAGATGTCAACGACAGGTCAGAACATCCAACGGCCGAGATCTCACTCTCGCGGATAACGCACAAAGTGACGACTTTCGGGAACAATAGAACAATGAAGTACCCAAAAAATACAAAGGGCGGGTATTGTAAACCCTCGTAGTGTCGTAACTCCAATCATCGCAACATCGGCGGCCTCTGTCCGTGGTGGTGCAGCTATTTCGTTTCTTCGCCGAGGTACTTTCTTCCGTTTGTTTTTTCTTTGTCATATTCATGGTGATTCTTTTGGCTCCGTGAATTAGGGTTTTCCTTTTCCCTCCAATTACCCTATAAACGCTAGTTTAGGAAACGTGTTGATGGTTTTCAAGATTAGTCGTGCTTTGACCAGTGTCTTTACCGCTACATGATCCATTGGACTATCTTGGTTTTGGTGGAAGCCTTAATTTTTTTTCTCTAAGGGGAATGAGTTGAAATGCTGTCGACTAGGTTGTGGTTGTGATTCGGACGAAGACTTTCACGGTCTTGTAAGTTCCCATAAAACAAGGCTTTTTATGCTCGGTGTTTAGATTCCATTATATTTTTGTTTAAAAATTCAATCGAGTTTGATAATGTTTTGGTCCGTGCACATAGTTCTTTCATGGTTTTATTCCGGGGGGGGGGG